GAATCATCTAGCAACATACCATAACAACAACAATCACATGGTGAACCCTATAGTCTAGCAAAAGGCAGAAAGAAACGTGTTCACAAAGCCCCTGGGAGATACGACTTTGATGACATGGTAGTCTTTGCTCTAACTGTTGGTACTGGAGAAATCGACTCCTTCGAAGATGCTATACGTGATACACAGAGTGATAAATGGATGACAATCATGATGCAAGAGATGGAGTTTATGAAAAAGAACAAGACTTGGGAGCTTGTCAAGAAACCTAAGGGAAGGAAAGTGATTGGGTGCAAGTTGGTATTTCGGAAGAAAGACGTAGCAACAGAAAAGAAACGTGAAAGACTCAAGGCTAGGTTATAACAAAGGGCTATGCTCAGAAAAAGGGAGTGGACTACAATAAAATATTATCTCTGGTTATTAAGCACACTTCAATAAGGCTATTACTTGTTTTAGTAATCATGTTTGATTTGGAGCTAGAACAGCTTGACATGAAGACAACGTTTCTTCATGGTGATTTGGATCAAAAATCTTTATGGAGCAACCTAAAAGTTTTAACGTGCATGAAAAGGAAGATCAAGTTTGCTTGCTTAAGAGATTGCTTTATGGTCTTAAGATATCTCCCAAGCAGTGGCACAAGCGCTTCGACTCTCTTATGGTGCGGATTGGCTATTCAAGAAGTAAGTATGATTGTTGCGTTTATTTTAAAGTTCTTAATGATAATTCTCTTATCCTTCTAATGCTTTATGTTGATGACATGCTCATCGCTGGTAAGAATGCATATGACATAACATATCTCAATTCTATATTAAGTTTTGAGTTAGATAGGAAAGATCTGGGGACTGCTAATAGGATCCTTGGTATGAAGATTCATAGAGATAGAAGTGCAGGTAAACTCTGGGTAACCCAGAAAAGGTATCTTGAAAAGGTGCTGGAGCATTTCAACATGAAAAAATACCAAGTCAGTTAGCACTCTATTGACGAGTTATTTCAAGTTATCTGAACGGCAGTGTCCCACTACGGATGAGGAGATAGAGCAGATGTCTCTAGTGTCATATGCTAGTGCAGTCGAAAGCCTCATGTATACTATGGTTTGTAGCAAAGCGGATTTATTTCATGCTGTCAGTGTTGTTAGTCGATATATGAGCATTCCTGACAGGGGCATTGTCATGTAATCAAGTGGATTTTTAGATATCTGAGCGGGACGTTAAATCTCGAAATTATGTTTAACAAGAAGAGAAGCTCTACAGAATTAGTGGGATATGTCGATTTTGACTATGCTGGTGATTTAGACAAGCTGCGGTGTACTATAGGGTATGTCTTTACACTAGCAGGTGGACCTATTTCATGGAAGGTAATGCTTCAACACATGATTGCCTTGTCTACAACAGAGGCACAGTACATGGCAGCAGTTGCGACTGCAAAGGAGGTGATATGATCGACTGGTTTGGCTCGTGAGTTAGGAATGGAGCAAGAAGGTATTGTATTTGCATTGTGATAATTAGAGTATTATAAATCTTGCAAAGAATCAAGTGTTTCATACAAGGTCAAAATACATTGATGTGAGATATGACAAGATCATGGAGCATGCGTCCGAAAAAATTATTCGCTTGAAGAAAATTCATACGAATGACAACCCTGCAGATATGCTTACAAAGTCGATCACTACAGAGAAGTTCAAGCTTTGCTTGGACTTGCTTAATGTCACTCATTGTTGAAAGTGAGGGAAGCACCCCAAGGGAGGTGGGGATGCAGTCTTGTATCTTTATGGAGGTACGGGGAGGAAGACATCTTCAAGGTGGCTCGACAAAATTCTAGCTAAGGTGGAGATTGTTGAGGATTGATGTGTCTTGTATTATGATGAAATAGATCTGTCAAGGTAGAGTCAAAAGGACAACTCCGGAGGGCGTACATAGGATTCGATATATCTGGGACTTGATATATATCCGTACAAGGGTATTTTAATAATTTATACCATTTATCTGGGACTAGATATATATTGTTATGATTGGGGGTTCATTCAGGGTTAATGAAAAAATGCAGATTGCTTTGCAATCAGAGAGAACAAAGAGACATGAGAAAGATAGCTATTGTAACACTATTCTCCATTGCTAGTAAATGAGCTCTAATCTCTTGTGGATATAGGCATGTTGTCAAACCACGTATATCTTTGCGTTGTAGTTGATTGTCTATTTCTTTTGTGTTTGTTTCTTCTTTCTTGTTTTTGTGGATTGCTTTTAGTTTCTACATTTCAATTTAAAAAAATTTTAAGTAAAAAAATCAAGAAAAAATGATAAAGATGAATTTATCATCCAATTTAAGGCATCTTATATCCCTTAAATCAATTATTCCATTGATTTATTGATGCACAAAAGCTGTAGAAAAATCATGCAAATGAGGTTAAACCACACACATTATCTCTAAAACATATATTTCGGCAAGATAAAGTAATTGGCAGAAGGTTAGAGAGAAAGAGAGCTCTCGAGGAGATAGGTAGCGATGAATTGAAGACCAGGGATGTAATTTGTTTTTATGAGAGAGGCTGTGGTTTTGAGAGGGGGTTAGCGAAGAAAAAAAAAAAAAACGAAAGTGCAACTCTCCATGGGGTAGGGTGGAGTCCTGCGGTCTCCCCACTGCTCAAACGTCACCCCTAACCGAACTTAGAATTGGGCGGAGAGATTGGAACTTCTAATTGGCAATCTGGCCTTAAATTGTAGGGGATTAACTTCCTCAACCCTGTCATTAAACTTAAAAAAGGAAATATTATTGTCTGAAATTGTGCTAAAAATGAACAGAGGATTTCTAATTTTTGAATTTTTAAAGAGTAAGAATAAAATGCAAGCAAATAATGCAAACCGCATTATTACGGGGCTAGCTGGAACAAAGTTTTTATTCGATACAGGGGGAGCTGGTAGCTTTCGAGCCTAAGCCCGGAGAATGCTCATAGTCCCAGCACGAGGAATCTGAATCCCTTCCAAGACCTCCAGAATCCAACCGTTGTTGGACATACGACGATCTCCACGCCTTTGTTGAGGAGGAGGAGCCTGGCCAAGTAAAGCCCTCACCTTGTCCCAGACAAGTCGACCCTAAGTAGCAGGCTCACATAAGAGGGGCTCTCCGCCTCTAAGGTAGGTCTCGTCTCACCGCATGGGAATGGTATGGTTTCGAGAAGAGACCTTCGAAAGATCCCGGAATCAGCAACCCACCTTAGACTGAGGTTCGGCTCAAGGTGTCAGCCCACCAGCTTTGGCAGGACCAGTCGTCAGTCGGGTTGACGACAAAAATCCATGGCGCCCATCCAATCAGCATCGACATGCACGAGTTTGCCGAAAAAACAAGGCCTGCAAACCAAAACCCATTTCCGATGCAAGGGGCGACCAAAATGTCACAAGAGGTGACGGTTTCCATGCTTTTGAAGACTAGGTACCAGTATGGTGTCTATAGATTTTGACATATGATAGATTTTGACATATGCCAAAAATCATAAATACGGTTTCCAAGATACATAGCTCCTTAATAATCAAAACCTGCCTCTTGCAATAGTATACAGTAGAAAGTTTTTGCTTTTTATTTTTCATGCAATAAATGGTGCTAAAAACAAGCTTTGAACGCACACCCCAAGTTGTCAGATTTTTTTATTATGTGACACCATCAGAGATGTCGGATTTTACTTGCGAATGCTAGAAGTAATAATGACATATTTATACTACACTACATAACCTTTATAATATACAATTTCTTTTAAGGATAGGGCTTCGGCCCTATTAAAATAAGTAAAGCCTTACCTCATAACTCATCAAAAATTACAATTCAAGCATTAGAAAATCTTTACATTAATAATTTTAGCTTGAATATTATGGTTGTGAAAAAAATAGGATTTAAGCTCTAAAAATAATGTATATTGTAACAAATTATCTAAAAAGTCCATTTCGCCCTAAAAAAAAGTATTTATAGACCCATATCAGTTGTATTATTTTTTGAGTTTCGAATTTCATTGTCAGTGTTGGAAACTAATTTTAGAGCCATCATGGATATTTTCGTTGTTGAAAGTGCTTTCGTGGCATAGATATCATTGAGTTAGTAAAAATTGACAGTTTTAATAAGGCTCTACTAAACTTGTTGGTTCACCTCCCAAGTTTAATTTAGAGTAAAGAAGTGTATGTCCATTTCTAAAGCCTTGAGTGACCATTTTAAGAAGCCATTTAAGACCTGAAATCTTTTACAATGTATTGAGATTTTTCTATTGCATAACAAAGGTGAAGACTTTAAACTTTCTTTTGACCCGTCTCAAGCTTGGGTAAAAAAGCTGGGTGCATTTGGTAGGAAGCTAACATAAAATTTTGTAACATCTTATTATGAATTCTAAACTTATGTTATATGGTTCATGCAGGACCTCCAATCACTAGAATAAGGCTTGGATAATAATCACGATTGAGATTCACCTTGAAATTATTTTTAAAACATAAATTTTTTAAACTCTTAAAAATCTAAGTATCATCATCTCACAAATGGACGATCCCGATGCATAGTTAAAACAAGAGCCTTATTCTTCCAATACTGTAGAAAAGGGCATCATGGAAAACTTGCCACTTACATTCAACACAAAATGAAATTTTCGGATAAAAGTGGGAGTGAAGCTCGAAACGAAAGGCACCGCAACCGCAATTTAACCGAAATCTGTGCATTGAACCGAAATTTCGGAGCTAGATTTGCTTAACGGTACATGTTTTTTCGGCGGGTGAAGTAGGTGCCTACACTTAAAAAAGAAATGGTGCCCGCCTGATCAACGGTAAGCATACTGCCTAGTAAGGCCACATCATGCAATCTGGCCGTCCATTTCTCTCATATATAAATGCATTCGATCACTGGTAGTTTCCAATTTGAAAGTGGAGAGAGAGAGAGATAGAGAGGCAGAGCCCATCAAGCTGTAATTAACCAGAGAGAGAGAGAGAGAGGCAGAGCCCATCAAGCTGTAATTAACCAGAGAGAGAGAGAGAGAGAGAGACCATCAAGCTGTAATTAACCAGAGAGAGAGAGCGCTTCAATCTCAGAAGGGAGAGAGAGAGAGAGAGAGCTCTTCAAACTCAGAAGAGCTCATCAAAATCTAACAAACCCTAAGCGACTGTAAAAGCTATCCGAAAAAACTTTAAGTAGCCTAAAAAACAGAATTGAAGGCCATGCGGACTCGCTTTCTAGTCCTTGATTTCTTTAACCACAGCTCCGATACATCTGGTTTCACATCTTTACCAGTCCCTAAGCTTCCTCCTTTGAAGGCTTCAGTTTTTTTGAATCATTCTGAAACGGAAGGGGAATTCTGCTTCTTTGACTGTGTCTTCAGCCTTAGCCATGGGCTACAAGCTCTATCTTTCGATAAAGCCTTATCTGCCTTCCTTTCATATGTTATTCCTGAGAATTTGGCTTTGCAAAGAGACGATTCTCTGGAAAAGCGTACGAGTGGAGGAAATCAACCCAAATTGAAAAGGATTGAATTCAATCAGGTGAGTATGGTGCTTTCCTTGGTGGATTATGGAAGTTAGGGGTTTATTTTGTTTTGGAGTGTTTTATTTCTCACAGCTTTGAGTCTCAGAGCGGTTATCTTCTAGGAACAAGGATGAATAAGAAGTGATTTGAGGAAAAGAGAAGGAAAATGAGGTGAACAAGTTGAGAATTATATTACTATAGAGAATAATTTGAATGATTTTTTTTTTTCTCAGAGAGTGGAGTTGCAAAGGGCAAGGGATTTCGATTTGGTTAAGACTGGGGGAAATGGGGCTCAAGAGAAGCAAAGCAAAGCTAATGAAGTACGTTTTTTTTTCTCAAAAGGCATGTGGCGATATATATTTATTATCATGAACTTCCCATATTTTGCAGAATACTTTATTGGAGGAGGGAAAGAACGGTGCACTTTACAGGGTTGTTCATTTTGAGACACCGGAGGTTGATCTCCCTCAGGTGAATGGGTTATATGTGTTTTTCTTTTCTTTATTTTAGTTTAGAATATGTGAATTGCCTCAACTTCAAAACGTTTTCAATATTCAGTAATTGCAGGAGTTATTTCTCTTCTGAAAATTATTAATTTTGTAATTTTTGCTTATTTTTATGGATGTGGTTTGTATAGAGCCGAGGCTCTAAACAATCAAAGTAAAGCACACCTTCAAATAGTGTCGAGAAATGTGGTTTCAATACCGAAAATCTTTGTGATAGCCTTAAAATATATTTTAGAAAAAAGTTTATATAAGGTTGCAACCTCAAAATGTAGAATTACAGATGCACCCCAAGAATCCATTGGAAAAAGTTGTTTTAATGTTGATCATCTCGACAACTAGATGTATGAATGTGAAAAAAAAAAGATTTTGAGTCCCAAAAATAATGCATCTTGCAACACATTATGTAGACCGTTCATTTTCAATATTTCCATATGTTTATAGATCAGCTTGATTTTAACCATTTTTGAAATTTAAAATTTTATAATTAGATATGAAAATAGATTTTGAGATAATCCTAATAATTTTTTACATCAAAATTACATGTTATGATAAATTTCAGAGGTGCGCCTTAATTGGATTGTTTAAGGTTGCAACCTTATAGAAACCAAACCCTATATTTTAATCTCTAATTATAAAATTTTAAACTTAAAAAATAGTGTAGATCTTGCAGATTTATGAAAACTTGCAAATTTTGAAAATTGATGGTCCAAAAATGTGTTACAAGATGCACTATTTACAAAACTTGAAATCCATTTTTCTCTCATGTCCATGCATCTTGATGTCGAGATGATCAATTTAAGGATATTTGGGCATCATAACAACCTCTTCCAGTGAAATTTTTGAGGTGGGCTCTAATTTGATTGTTTAGAGCCTCGGCTCTATATAAACTTTTTCCTATTTTTATTGAAGATTTTCCAATAACATAGCTATTCCTTTTGAAATTATGATTTACTTAACTTTCAATGTATTGCTTGTTTTCCTTCCTCCACGTTTGCTTGAATGCTTATTATTCATCAGCAATGAGGTAGCCTTTTAAATATGGGTGTGGTTTGCATAAGGTTGCAACCTTAAAACAATAAAATTAACGTGCACCACCAAGTTTTATCATAAGATGTAATTTTGGTGTCAAAATTTCTAAAGATGGCCTGGGAAACCGTTTTCATCTCTAATTATAAAATTTTAGACTCAAAAAATGGTTCAAATTAAGTAAATCTATAAACACATGAAAATAGATGGTAAAGATAATGTGATGCAAGATGCACTATTTTTGAGACGTAATATCTTTTTTTTCTTCTACATCTTGACGTCGAGTTGATCAATTAGAGGGTTTACCAACTCCAAAACAGTTTGTTACGATGGATTTTTTTGGTACATCTTAATTCTCCATTGTAACCTTATATAAATTTTTTCCTTGAAATATAATGAATTTGACATATTGTGTTATGAACTATCTCGGGTTCAGTGTTGCCTTGATCTGAGTTGTCTCTTTGTGCCTTTTAATGTTCAGAAGTTTGCCTGGTTTAAGGAATTTTATATATCCTATAAAGCATCTTGAATTTGGTTGTGGTAAATTGCGTAAATCTATCGAGTTCTAGGTGTTCTCTTGGGATACATGCATTGTAAATCCATCATAGTCTACTTATTCCATAAGGGCAATAATTTGTGCAAAACAAGCTCATATATGTTGAAGCATATTTTTATGTAATTTGGTGCTCCTGCTTGATGAAAGATGGTTATTACTCTATCTATTCTATAACGTAAGTGCATGTCATTGTGAGGATCAGTTTCTAACTCATTTCAGCCATTGATGTCAATTTCTTGTATTTATAATAGGAGGTCACAACCCTTATGTTGGATATGACAATGCAAGAACTTGACACTCAAGAATTTAATTCTTTCTCTTGCTTCACACAGGTTGGCGTTGATTATCATGTTTTGAATGATTTTCCCTGGTTTCTTTCTATTCGTAAAATAGTTAGGCACTTGTGGAAGGCTCCTATCTTCATGTTGGAAAATATAAGATGAAACTAACCTTTATCTTGAAAGCTAGGGTATTATTTCATTGATTGATTTCCACTCATTTGGTAGAATGCTGTTGGTCACTTGGGACAGCCAAATTAATAATCTAGCTTCCACCTATCTGGATGCATACACATACATTCATATATGTCCGTATATAGTATGTACTATGTAATATGAATGTTTGCATGTGAATATACCCATAATTCTGTAGGTTTGTATATGATTATAAGCAAAAATGTTATATGTAGTGTTATCAGGATCGGTCCAGCCACCGAACCGGTAAGGGATCTGATCTAGTCAAAATCGATTTGATCACCGGTCAAACTGGTTTGATCAGATCATACAAATATTAAAAAAAAATACAAATAATAGTGTAAAAGTAAGTAATATATTAGAAAAAATTTGCCCACTTTGTTTAGCCGGTGGAATCAGACAAGTAGTTTAAACTGGCTGGTTAGACTAGCCCGAACCGGTTAAACACTCTTTTGGACAAGTTTTTATCAAACCTGCTTTTTACTTTGCACTAGACCAGCCAAGGTATGGGTTGGTCCAGTCTTGATAACTATGGTTATATGAAAGTTGGGGTTGACAATGAGGTGAAAGTAACTTGTAAGATGCCACTTAGCAGAAATATAACCTTCCATTTTCTTTAGGAGTCTTTTAAGCACCGAGAAGAAATGCTGTTTGCTTTGAGACAGAATGCTATCACATCATAGAAATATGCCTGGCAGCATAGTGTTAGGCATCCCAACTTAGTTCAAAGAGGTTTCATGGTGCTCAGCAGCAGCACAGGATAATATTTGAATACAAAACATATCTTTAGTAAAGGAAGGATTTCCATTCATCCGTGATTCAACTTAGAGCTTAGTTCTGCTTTTCTCTTTTCTATATGTTTAGTTAACAGAAAGGTTGTTGGGGGGGGGGAGAGGGGGTTGCACACAGGATTCAAGCCTCTATTTTTTCATACTCAGTCCCCATTTATGTGCACTGGACTACACCAATCTCCAAGTGGTTGTTTCCATGTATAACTAGTGAATCTCACATACATTTCATTAATGAAAAGATTATAATCTGATCTAGCTGCTGTAACCAGCATCTTTGCCTCTTAGCTGTCTGCTCAGTTTTTGGTATCATGTTCTTAGGGACTTCATCATAATTTTCATTCTAGGAAAATTCAATTTTATCTGTTCCAACTTGGAATTTTTTTCTCTTAAAGTATGATTTCTTTGGCTTGCCAATTCAACTTTTGATTTAAAATGCAAAATTTTCAGTTTGTGTAATATGTTGTCGTTGGGAAGAAAATGCAGACGCTGTTGTTTCCAAATGTGGGAATGGAATAGTAAATAGCATCATTTTAAAATTAATTCCATTTGCTTTGAGGCTATTAATCATCTTGATAAATCATATATGCTGCTTTATGTATGTATGAATTTTGTTGCATTTTGGATTGGTTTTTGCAGGACATATTTGACTTCAATCATGGAGACATGGGCTTGCATTGTCATGATTTTCCAAGATCAATAATCGAACCCATGCCTGCCAAGGCTTTTTCAGAGAAAGAAATCCATGAAGTTGAAAATGCAAATATAGATGCTGACATGACACATCAATTCTCAGGTGACCTTACTCATTTTGAGGTTTGTGAGATTGGCCATGAGGCATACGATGCACAATTTGGAGATGAAACGTTCCATTCTCTGGTTGCCAGTGAAATAAATAGTCATTTCTATGAAAATGACATAGAGTTCGATTTTGAAGAACTTCTAAGGTCAAGGACCAATAGCATGTGGAAGACTTTGTTGGAACTTGATTCCTTTGAGCAGTGCAAAGAACCTCATTCTACATGCCTTGTACAGCTATTAGATATGGAGTATAAGTGTCCTGACAATGACTTCTTCACCAATACGATGTGTTCGAGAATTGATATGAAGATCTTAGATGGTGATTCTTATTCTTTGGTTCATTATATCAATTTTGATAAGTATCAATTCCTGGACTGGTCTTATTGTCAAGCATTCCATCTAGCTGATTTAGAGTTGGTCACTGAAACTAATTTATTGGAGGTACTGCTCAAAGAAGACTTAAATTCAGTTAAGACCTTCAATGAATGCATTGTTGGTCCAGAATTAGCATTGGCAGATGAGACATTTCATTCATTGCCTATACCTGCCCTGCCTGACTATAAAGAGTTGTGTTCATTATGTGAACTTCTTGATCGAATTCTTGATGATTTAAAGCCTCACTCGGCATCTGCCTGTGATTGGATTTACCTGGATTGGCATCTTTCTCAAGAAGATAAATGCAACCGTAATATTTGTTTAACTCTCAAGAGCAAGACAGAGAAGGTGGATTCTATCAATACATCTTCTAAACTGGATTCCACTAAAGAAATGGTGGAACTGGACTTCCTATTTTTGGTTGATGATGAGCTTCCAGATGCATCAAACACAGTATGGTTCAGTAAAGCAACCACTCATGACTTTCCTGGCACTCTGACTTCAGCCTCAGTGCCTCTAACTAGAAGCAATCCATCTGTTCTGCGTGAAACAAATAGCAGAAACATACCTCAAGCTCTAAAAACCACAATTAAGACGAACTCTGAGAATCTCTCTTCACTCTATGAGTCTATGTCCATATCCAATGATCTGAGTTTCTTCATACATGCTCGAAAAGGCACGACCGTGGGAAATGTTGAAAATCTAAGCCAGGAGAATGTTGCTAGAACCAGTCTTCTTGGTATTTCCTCTAGGAACTCAACTGAGGCCTCTATTCTCACACAGAGTACAAGTCATAAGTGGAACGTGAAGATACATTGGATTAATCTTTGTGACCCTATTATGAATATTTTTCATGAAATCCAAAAGAGCTGTGTAGCCATCTTGGAGAATATTGCTCTCTTACAAAGTAAAGGTACACTGAGTGTTGTCGACTATGCTCTGCATTTTTCAAAGTTGAAGCTTATGGATCTAATAAAACACTCCGGCAAATGTCTGTCCACTTTGGAGTGTGAAGATGAAAATTTCATGAATTTTATTGCTCTGTATGCCCTGAAGCAGATGGCCTATTACTTGTGTTATTCTGGAATCTACACAACTCATCTATATGTGATGAATTTAGTTCAGAGTGTGAAATTTCTCAAAATGAGATTGTCCTTACTACAGTCTTCAATTGAAGATGCACACAGTAAAGCAGAGAAGGGGCTTATGGAATCACATCCTTCCCTTCCTATTATGGAAAGGATCATTACTTTGAGCTCTTCTCGAAATGGTAAAAAAACACTAATTGTGGCAGACAGGATATTCTGGTTGCCATTGAAAAAGAAGCTGGCTACCATGGGTATGCTCTATTATGAATGGGGCATTGATCGTATGCATTTGAGTCGGCAGAATACTTTTGAAGACAAAGAGGAACCAACCCTCTCTATTTTAGAGGCACTTCTGAATTTTGATTGCTTGATTATTTCACCTGAGTGAGTTTACTCTCTCTCTCTTTCTCTTTCTCTCTCTCTCTCTCTCTCTCTCTCTCTCTCTCTCTCTCTCACACACACACACACACACACACACACACACACATACACAACAAAAAAAATAAAAATCACATGCACACACACAACACAGGCGGACACGCACACACACATGCATGTTTTTTGTGTAATGTTATTGTGTATGTATGCATATCTCTATATAAATGTATGTGTGTATTTGCGTACATTAAATGTCATTCTTATGTTATGCATGTATTTGTCTCATATCCACTCATGTGTACGTGTGTGTATTAAATGTTGATTTAATCATCTGTCTTGTGGTCTATGGCGAATATGAAGTTGTTGATATGTATCACTATTTTTGTTACTTTGTTCTTTTGTATCATAAGTGTAATCTTGTTATTCACCCTCAACCCGTGGATCCTTCATTCTCTGCTAGAATGATGTATATGAGCACTATCCATAAGGTTTTGGAATACCTCAATGACCTTTACTTCATGGGCAATGATGCTCCATCTTTCAATTGGAAACATAGAAAAGAAAAAAAAAAGGAAAAAAACTATGGCTGTGCATATGGCTGGTGACCCTAATTTAAAATTTTGTATCATGATCATAGAATCATTATTTGATGCTTACAAATGGGTTTGAATGCAATGTGTTTCACATTCTCCCGAGTTTGGTGAAAACCTTCAACTGACCCAAAAAATGAAAACTTGGTGGGAGCAAATCCTAGCTTCTGCCGCTAGTTCAATATCATGACCAATATTGAAATAAAGAAGTGGAAAATATATTCATATGTCAAGAATCTCATGATTCTATCGGATCAGAATGTGTTCGTTACTAAAAAGACTTAAGTAATGAGTAAAATATCCCCTACAATTTCTAGAATAAAAGGATTTACAAATTAGTAGAGACTAATATGTAAAAAGAGGATCTGGAAAGGTACAACACTAAAAAGAGGATTTAATAAGATCCTTGAAATTAGTGCAAGCAGAATGTATTGTGGATACTAGAAATCAGTAAATCCAAAAGTATTGATAAGCTTGAAATGTTGAAAAAAATACTAGATACTAGATATACAGAGAGCAATAAACAAAAAGCCATTCTTGGGACAAACAAAAGTGATTCCTGTACCATATTATGTATGTAGGGCCTAAACTCCTCAATGATTTGCCCTGACGAAGGAGAATTCTTCTACATGTTATATAGGAAAGTTCCCATAAAACCCACTTGCAATTTTTTTTCCCTGGGAGTTGGTGAGTGTTGAAGGTCCCTGCCTGTCGTATGGCTTTTATAAGCAAGTAACAAATGTCATGATCTGTCTGCCTAATGTTTGATTTTGGGTTTCATGCTCCAAAGCCAGTCTCTCTTATTGTCACTAAACCTTATCATGGGCGATGCTCTGAAATTATCAGATTTGATCATCCATTTGAAGTTAGACAAAATTTTGAAGGTTTTATAACCAATCATCTTCATATGGAAGACATGTTTATACTTGTTGCATCAAACACCAATCTCATTATCGAGCTAATTATTTCTTGCTTAGCTTCATATTGTGATACATATTCCACTTTTTGGTGAATCATCCCATTTGTTTGCATCATTACAATTCTGAAGCATGCACACATACTTTTAAGGGCTGTACTATTTGTATTCAAGGTAGTTTTCGAAGTGCAATTTTACATTTAATGTAAAACTGATAATGGATTTCTTTTATTTGGAAGGAACGTTTGGTCATCATTTCCCTTTAATGAGTTCAGCATCATCCTTGAATATGGGGGTCTATATGATTCATCTAGGGTATCTGTTATCTCCACAACATTTGTTGGTCTACCTTGCATTGATTTTCTCAAGGTTAATCTGGATGATCTTGATGTCTCTGGCACACTATGGGATAGCTCTGATGCTCTTGAGCATCCTGAAGTTGTAAAGGTGATTTTTAGGTTCTATGTATCTTGCTTAAGTGTGTTGTTATATTATTTGTATAGTCAGCATATATTCTGTATTTGAAGTGTAGTAAGCCATCTGCTAGGTTGAATTTTGTTTGTTATTTCATAACCAAATTTATGATTGTGAATCAGTTATGGTCGTGCTAGAATGTTTAGTGTCAAGTTATTGCAGGAAATAAACTATGCATGAATAGTAGACTGAAAGAACCCAATGTTGGTGAGCCACTGCTCAGTTTTCTCATAATTACCCATAGCATGTACACTTCAGAGTGAGCTACTACTGATTCAAGCCCTCTCCGGGAACACAAAGACTTCTATTGAGCTTTTGATCTACTATCTGCATCAGAAGTGATTAGTCAAATGTATCCACGCCTCTACTTTTTGGTACTTTGTTAGAAAATAAATCTTACGTTAGCTTGTGATAGTGTCAAATGAGGTCCTTGGGAATATCTTATTCTTATCCACCTAACATGTTTATATACACTGTCTCACATGGAGGTAGTGGCATATATGAACTTACAACTTCTAAATATCTTGTTGATCCTTTCATTTTGCATGACTATCTTTTCTTACACTTGGGATTGCGGACATCTAGCCTGTGTTGTTAATTAAAATAAGTTTTGGATGACTGCTTTCCACTAATGACTTGCCTTCATGAATTTTGTTGCAGTCAACTTGATTAATTATACATACAGAAATTTTAGAATAGTTATGCGAAAGCTCGCTTTATATTGGTTTAGATTGGAACTGAATTTTCGGACCTGCATAATGAGAAGCTTTCATGCTCGAGTGTGTGTGCTCATATATGCATGTGCAAAAAGCCCTTGATGCAGGCGAATAACTACTGCCTATTATATTACTACACTTTTATCTCTTTCTTTACTTGACAAGTTTATGGACATTTTAAATTTTGTGTTAATTTTACTCAATATGTTGCATTTATATTTAGTATTAAATTGATATATAACTGGGATTATATTAGGACAAAAATCCAAGGATAAGGTGTTATCCACAAAGGGCTTCACATTTTGGATGGTCATAAGTGTGGCACTGTGACCTGCCAAGGTCACTCTTGGTTCACAAAGGTAATTGTGGCCCCAATGTGACAGTATCATAAGAAGCATGGTGTGGCAGCATTGAAACTACCCTTGAAAATGAGGCACTGTGCAGTTAATGCCGAGTTTCTTGATATTCTTTCTATATTATTTCCTGAGATGGATTGTTGGATATTCCTTGATTTTGTACAACAATTGATGTAAAGTAAACTTGACTTATAGTTGTTTCCAGGAAGGTTCTAATCAAACTTTCCGTACCTCACATGAGGACTTTAACTGCTGCCAATGGGTTAAACTGTTAAACTATATTCCGCCATCAGAAAAGGGTGCTCATAGCACAACTTCTAAAGCTTCAGAAGTAGAAGAAGCCAGCTCTCTGATTGAAGCAGAATCACATGATCCTATGAAGCTTGGGACTCAATTTACTTCACGTCCCAATTTAGTTATCATTGTGAACACGCAGAATCTTGATAGAGAACTGCTTATATCTCGGAGAAGCTCATACCAAAGGATTCTTGCAATGGAGAAAGAAGGTGTGCAAGTTGTGGAGAGAGAGATGCCTGTGCCAGTGGACCTAGTGTTCAGTGCTACAATGTGCTTGTTATGGTATACTGCTAGGAAGCTTGGTATGAATGCTCCGATAAGGGCAGAAAGCTCTTCATGCATGCCTCTGTGCATAGAGAATATAGCTTCTGAACTGTTGATGTCTCTAAGCTTCACATTCAGTGATTGTATACTGGTATGTTCTTTGAATATCTTGAGACAAGTTACTGAGTTGCTTTAAATTTAGAGCCTGATAATGCTATTTTCTGTACCATACGTATGGCTTGTCCATGTTTTCTAATTCTTTTTCCAAAGTTCCTTTTAAGGTGAATATAAACCTGTCCCTCTCTGGTACCTTTAGAATTTACTCACGTTTGATTTTGGTTTTTCATAAATATTCGTTGCCAGTAATGTTAAAAAAAAAAAAGTAGTTACAGAACCCACCGAGAAAATACTAATTATATACAGTGTCAGCCCCAGTCCATGACTATACACATTGCCGAAAGTTTTTCCTTAAGAAACCTGTCATATCTTCTAATGACTGTATCCACATATTTCTGTTTGTTACATATGTGTACCGCTGAATTTTTCATTCATCTCTCATTGATATGTTGAATTAAGATCTAATCTTTACCTTTTTTTGTTCACTGTCACCTTTTTATGGATTTCTTCATATTTATTTCACATGTTCTGTGACTTACATATTATATCTAAATAGAAGTCTCGTGATTCTCATCAGCTGTACTAATCAGTACACTTAACTGTTCTCCCAGATTTTCGAAGGGGACAGTATCTTTCTTGGAGCAGTTATGGAGTCATCAGATGGACTTTATGCTGCAGCAGCTAGCCTGAATATGAATTTGCAGCTGTTTTTTTCCAGCTCATCTGATTTAACTGACGACATAATCGAGAGCACCATTAGACATTCGGCAAGATTGAATAAATGTTTATACCCTGCAATGCTTGAATCTGAAACCTTAGCAGAGTCATTTCTTACAAGCTTCCCTTCTATCAACCCACTCTTAGCTCATGCAGTCCTATCATGTGGTATCACGCTTAGGGAGTTCCTAGAATGGACACATGAACAGAGAGTTATGGCTTTAAGGGATTATAATGTTTCTGAAGAAAGTGTTCTTCTGTTTAGTGCTTTATGCAAGTATGGAGATTTGGGAGAATCAAAATCAGGAACGACTGATTGTTCCTCACTATCTTCTGCAATGGATACAGATAGCAGTTACACTAACAGGCAGTCTCATCAGAGGCCAGAAATTCAGTCAATTGACATTTTAGAGGTTGACCACATGCATGTCATGCCGTCAAAGAAGTACAAAGCAGGTGAACCAAGTGTTTCCCTGTTGTATCAGTCAAATGAGGGTTCTAATGTGAATGAACTGCATAAAAAAATCTTGGAAGGTAGAGAGACAAAGAAACAAAGTTATGGATTAGTGGAACCACAGAGGGATCCAAGGCATGGTTTGGGTACTACTCTATTCAAAGAAATTGATTGGGGTGATCTGAATAGTGCTGAGGATGCTACTAAAGGTTCAGATGTTTATAGAGTGCATCAAACATTATCGGAAGGTAGAGGGAGAAAGAGCCAAAATTATGAAGTACTGAAATCACATCTGGGTGTGAAGCAGGGCTTGGGTTCTACTCTATTGAAAGAGATAGATGACCGTGCTAGAACTGAGAATGCAAATAGAGGTTCACACATTAATGAATTCCATCGAAAATCAGTGGAAGGAGGAGAGAGAAAGGAAAAAAGGCATGAATTTGTGAAACCCCATCTGGGTCCAAAGCAGGGGTTGGCTACTACATCATCAAAAGAAATAGAATGGATTGACCTCGATAGAACTGACGATGCACATGAGGCCATTAGAACTGAAGTAATTGACCTTGAGACTGATTTCTTTAGTGATAACATCTTTTCTCCCATGAAAACTGTGGAAGTTTTCACTAGAAATAATGTAGTAAAAGAATCTCCATCTGGGAACTCTAATGATATCAGCAAATTGATGTTTGACCCAAGCAATCTTCATGGATTTCCGACCTCTGCAGAGATCACCTGTGATTCAGACACATGGATACCATTCACAGACTCCAAAAATTTATTTGAAGAGAAAAATTACAAAAAACCAAAAATAAAAGCTGTCGTGGATGGTTTGATTAACCAACATGAAGTAGGGATCTTGCCAGATAGCAAGATGGAGCAAACATTTCTAAAAGTTCCCTTTAAATTGCCACTCCAAGAAGAAGGAAGTTCTTCTAGTTACATCAAGAATTCATTTTTGAAGGCTTCGCAATTGCCAAGACCGCAACAAGGGTCACCCTGGACTATTGAATTCCTCAACCGAATCAAGGAGAAGTCCAAAATGCATAAAACACTTCCTCTCTGTAACACATATATGAACAGCCCTGGGGGTTCAAGGAGAATAGACAAAGGCTTCACCAGGAAAAGTCCATCCATTCTTGAAGGCTATCGTTACAAAGGTGGAAACCAAGCAAAAAAGGCATCCAAACAGAAGTTTCAGAAACGATTTCAATCTCCTTTGGATTTATCACCGAGGGAGCAGAAGCAGGGAAATGTTTCATCTTACTTGGCTCCAGCATGGACCCCACTCGACAAAAGAGCTCGACAGGTTTGAAATCCAAACAAATTTTAATTGTTTCCTGAATAGCTCTAAGAATACGGTTATTCAACTTTTAGGTAAACTCCAGGTTCTATCTTTCACAAGGAATGGAGATGAAACTCAAAGTCGACTAATCTGGAGCGATGGGGCCATTAACAACCTCAGAAATAAGTTTCAAAGAGGTTCTTGAGCTGGCAGGTACTTCCATGGGGACTTTGTATATCTCCTCATGGTTATAAATTGCCTTGACTTTTCATATCAGATTGGTTCCATTTTTTATTTATTTTTAACTTGTGTTAGCTATAGCTTTCCTAACTTGGGTTACAACTATTCCAACTTCAAGGCTTGCTTAATTGTTGAGAAGTTGGTATTGATGATCCCCTAAGAATATGCACACAACATAAGGCTTGAAACGGCACTTCCCTTTCTTTCTTTTCCTTTCCCTTTCCATTTTTTTATTTTTTCCATTACAATATAATGCAGACAATGATGCCTGCTTATAAAAGAATTACTTGTATACACAGGATACTTTTCTTATAAAAAAGCTCTATCAGCTCGTATTCCTTTTGAAACTGCTACCTATCCTCCTCTAACTTCATCTATACACCACATGTGATTTTCAATAATCAGTTTTTCTTAGAATTCTTGAGATTTCGGACAGTCATCACTAGCTGTTGCCTCTCTCCTTCTACTTCTGCAAACTTGAGGCTTATCTCGGAGTATCTTCCTTGCATTTCTTTAAGCTCATCTTCCATGGATTTGTTCTTCATTTTCAGGAATTCTAATTCATTCATCAATTCAATAAAACTGGCCCGATCATCTATTAAGTCAAGACTGAGTTTCTGTTCCATGGTTGAGTCATTCTTCACGATCCTGTGAGAACATTAGCAATTTAGGCCAATGAAAAAGAGATAACGCTACATGTAGCTGGTCATAGAAGTTGTGCTATTCAACACACACACACACACACACACACTAAGGGGTGGAGGAGGTTCTTGTATTTACCTTTCTACTTGTTCTACATAATTCCTCTTTGGGTCCGGTATCTGACTTGCAGCTTCCATAACAGAATCAGGTGACTCAACTACAATGGTATTTTTATGTATTGATTTCACCTCAGTTACCCCTTGGGCATTCATCTTCTCATATCCCTGCTTTTATATAGATGTCATTAGTGTGTCTTTCTTTTCATTATTTGACCAAGCACTTTTTCTTTATTTTAATTTTTTGTGTGCATGAGCAATTCCAGGTGAAAAATACTTAAAAGAGTTTCTGTGCAAGGAATCAAATAAGAAGATATGGAGGGAAAAGTTGCACCTGCAGTTTCTTAACTGAAGAGTTGTCTACAGTGGCTTCAAGTATCTCAGGGACATCTTTTTCATCCCTCAAAGTCTCACCATTTTGGTTGTTGAAAGAATTTATCTGCAAATTATAAATTCATTATAAGAAATTCAGTTGTGTTAGTGTATTAGCTGAAAGGATACATCCACATTTCATTGGACTTCTTTCATACTATCAAATAGCTACATACATTTACCTGATATTCATCTGTACATGAATTTGGGTTTTCCTGTGCAAGCTCTCTGACACCCTTTTCCAGTTCCTTGATTCTTTCATGAAGATCCTTCTCTCTCTTCACAAACTCTTTCTTTGAGTTTTCCAATGCAGCTTCCTTCAATTTCACTTCTCCCTGTAAAATTCGGACTAGTTATGAATCAGAAAAAGTGAAATCAGAACATCTTTACAGTGGAAGGATCATGCTAACGTGATAAAGGAGAAAGGAGGATTATAAATGATTGTTTCTTATTATGATAGATTTACCTCAAGAAGTTTGACTCTCTCTCTTAAGCTAGTGGCCTCCTTAAGTCCACGAGGGGCAGACTTGTTTTTCTCTCTCACGAAGCCCAGCTTTGAAGCTGGAACAGAGTTTGCCACCCTTGAACTGCAATCCTTGAGCTTTTTCTCCATTGTGTTCACAGAGTCTTCCTTCTTCTTAAGGTCCCCCTTGAGATGGAATAACTGTTTTCTTAGGTTCTCTTTCTCTACTTCATCTTCATACAATGCATGCTTGAGCTCATTGTACTGAGATGTAGAGGATTCCAGCTCTGACTTCAGAAACTGAACCATCGCTTCCCTTTCTTCTTCTGCAGACTTCAATGTGTATAACACTTCCTGTGCCTTTTTGACTTCCTCCCCCCTTAAAACAGCCTCTCGCTCTAAAATGGTTATTTCCATTTCCTTCTCTCGCAAAATTGTCTCTCTCTCTTCAATTAGCATTTTCATTTGTTTTATTTTGGCCATCAGTTGCTCTTTTTCTTCTCTATCTTCAGCTGGTACTGCATGTAAGTTCTCTACTGCTCTTCCTGCTTTGCCTCTTGCTGTAGCAGCAGCCTCTGTTTCTAATTTGCTTATTTCAATGTTTTTCTGCTGCAACATTGCATCTTTCTCTTCGATTAGAATTTTCATTTGCTCCATCTCAACCCTCAATTTCTCTTTTTCTTGTTTCTCTTTGGCAAAGGTGTCTCTCTCTCCCCCAAGTGTTTCAATCTCCATTTTAAGTGTTGAAATCTCAGATGAAACCTCATCAATTTTTGCTTGCTCCGATGCCTTTCGGCTTTCAAGCTCCACAGATAGTTGCTCGAGTCTCAACTGAAGCTTTTCGTTCTCTTCTTTGTTGTACTCCAACTGGTTTGTGAGCTCGAGTACTCTACTTTCATATTGATCTTTCATGGCCTCAAGATCTTTATAGACTTTATCCAAGGACTCTTGCAAATGGGTTTTAACCAGCCGAAGCTCGCTAGCCTCAGTTAATGCATCCATAGACAGCTTCTCGTTGGCTTCAAATGTAGAATTCACTTGTTGAGAGAGAAACTTGAATTCATCCTGAAGCTTCTCAGCCATACTGGCATTATTCCATTTGGTTTTCTTCAAGGTTTCTTCTGCCCATATTGCTCGTTTTTCCTGCTCAACCTTAGCAATTGTGAGTGCAGCCAAATCAGCTTCGAAAGCCTCAGCTTGTTTCTCTATTTCTTTCTCTAGATTTTCAACTTGTGTCTCAAGGTCACTAATCATTGCCAAATTTAGCGAACATTCATATTGTATCTTAAGCTGCTCCTGGAGCTGGGTTTGCTCTAGCTTCAAGGTAAGATTATGATTTGCCTGCTTCAAAATCTCGTAATCAAGAGCGAGCTGTTCCATTTGTGTCTCCAAATTTTCATGATCTTTCTTATAAGCTTCAATCTCTTCATTGAGCTCTGCTATCTTTTGCTCTAATGAGTATGCCATGTCTGTGCTTTTGTGATCTTTGACTAAGGCTTCAAGTGCGCTGTCTTCCTCTGTTTCTTGTCCAAGAGCCTGATTTTGAGCTTCATGATAATTTTTTCTCTGGTCAACATTGGGAGCTTCAATTCTTTGCTTGCAAGAGATACAATGGTGTCCTCTCTCATCAGTATATGGTATTTCAGGTCTTTGGTTGCGAGACGTGCAAGAACTCTCTCTCTCAGCAGTTGCATGTGTCTCTCTGTTTTTTTGCTCCAAAAGTTCATCCAAGTCTCGAACAGCTAAAATTAACTCCGTATTAGACTCTTGTGTCTTCTGTAGTTGCAAACGTAGATTGGTGTTCATTTCTTTCTCATACTCAAGCTCTTGTTTGATCTCCTCGAAAATGCATGTAGAATCTAGATCTTCACGCCTTAAACTGTCTAAAATTTTGACATTCTCATTTTTCTTAGGAGAATTTTTTACCAATTCGAGCTCCTTTTTCAAGGTTTCTCTCTCCTCCCTCAAAACATGGATTTCCTTTGAAAGATCATTCCCCCTTCTGCTTTCCTTCATGATCTGCTTTCTAAGAGTTTGTACCTCAAGATCTGATACTTCTGCTTGTCTTGCCAAAATGGCAATCTCGTTATTTAGCTTCTCAATCGAGCTCTCAGATTCATGCAATTTCTCTCTCAACATCTTTGCTTCTCCAGTTAAAGATCCATACAGTTTCTCTCTCAAAAGTTTCCCTTCATAGTCTGATTCATGGAGTTTCTCTCTCAAAGTTCTTGCTTCTCTGGTCTCGGATCCATCCAGTATCTCTCTCGACGTCTTTGTTTCTAAAATATGTGATTCTTGTTTCTCTCGCAACACCTTTGTTGTTTCTTTCTCAACATTTTTTTGAAGCTTTGTGTTGCTGCTTAGAAATGATAAGAAGCTTGCAGTGTCCTGGTGCATACTGTTATTCCTTAGTTCAACTCCATGAGGGAATTCATGCCCTGAAACACTATCCGAACTTGATGCTGATGAACTATTGGATGCTCTAAGATTGCTATCCATGTTAGAGAGAGAAAATGCTGGCTCCTGTACTGATCCTGCATTAGGTGAAAACTCCTGAGGAAAAAAGCAAACACTAATGTGATCATGGAATGACGACACCAGAATATCAAAATCAAGAAAGAGTAAGATGAAACTCTTTGTTCTTTTCCCACTTCTAAAATTTTGCACTGGTTCTAGTGAGAGAATTCAAAAGAGAGAACTATACTTCAACAGCGTATGTGCTTTCGGAAGCTTTTGAGTACACATCTGCATCACAGTCACTGATCTGCCTCCTGATGCTCTTACTGTAGACTTCTGTATAGCTCTTGCTTTTTTCACATTCACTGGAAAAAAACAGAAGAAAAGAAAACCAAAGCTGCAAAATTTAGGGAAAAAAATTTCTCAACACAAATTCGGAAAATGTTGTATAAAGTAATCATCATCATCATCTTATTGTAATTAATCTTTTTTTCCGTTGTCATTGTTATGTTATTGACTTATCGTTATCACTCTTATTGTTCAAAAATTTAAGAGCACTGAGAATATATTCACCTGTTGTCACCAGAAAGCAGCCTCTGGATGGTTACCTGTTGCAGTAATCCAAACGAGAAATACGTTGGAGACGAAAATTCAACATTTTATAAAGTTGAACTTATATATTAAAAAAAAAGTACAACAAAAAAAAACAAAAACATTTTAGAGATCAAGAATTTTCCACAGGAAATTATTATTTTCTTTGGGAATGCTCTTTTTGCAGCTGTACTTTCCAATTCCCTAAAATTCTGAGAAATAAAATAAAATTGAACCCTCGCATAAAATGAGACTCACATGTAAAATTGTGCCAGAGTTTGAAGCCTTCAGTGGAGAAGACAGTGATGAAGGCTTGAGCGCCTCAGCATATACTGCAAAGTTGAATGTAATTTCCCCAAGCAAATTACCCTTTGATGACCCCTGCTTTGGTTTTACCAAAAAAACAGGGCAGAGAGAGAGAGAGATTCAATCATATGAGAAACCAGTAAATTAGGGCAATAGAGAGAGAGAGGTTCTTACAGGTGAAACGATGAACTGGTAATTTTTCTCTTCGAATTTTCCAGATTTTGGGTCTTTCGTGAGTTTCACAGTTTCATAGATTGGATCTTCCCATGTACAGGTCCCGTTGTTGACTGGCACCCTCTCTGTTTTTGCAGTGGGTTTTCCAATGTCCAAAGGAATGAGAAAAACGGATAGATTATCCCATCCTCCTGGCACCTGCAAATGAAATGAGAGAGAGAGAGAGAGAGAGTACACACCGGTGCATAGTTTGACGAGAGAATTGAAAAGATAAAGGAGAGAAACACTGGACATTGTTTCAGTTCAAGTTTTTAGAACGAGAGATAAGTGCTTGAAGTTGTTCTCTGATCAGCAAAACTTCAAGTACATTCTAAATACAAACCGATATGCACAATCACTCCCCACCAGAGAGAGAGAGAGCAATGCCAGAAATTTCTTATAATTCATTTTCAACTAGATCAGGCAAGATCACTCCTGAAAATCCAGGATATATAGCACTTTGTAGTCGACCCATCATTCAGAACAATCAGAAGACAGAGAAACAAAATTCTAATCGACTCATTTCCGGGAATTAAAACATGGCGTTTGAATTCAGTTTCTATAAATTTTTTGTGGAAATTCTAGGGAGAGAACTAGCTTTAGAAAAATTCATCTGAAACAGAGAGTTCACTTAGAAATACCTGTGTTGCCTGAAACTGTAGTTTGAATATGGCTCTAATCTTGGCCTTCTCGCTCCTCCATCTAGCCGCTTTAAACATTTTCTCTCTCTCTCTTCTGCTCTCAATGCAAAACGTATCATATCACATTTGCATTTGCATTGGATCCTAAAAATAAGATGTACATATCATCTTCTGCAAAATGCTGATATCAGTTTGCCATTTGTATTGGTCTTTACAAGAGAAAACCCCAAAAAAAAAATCCACAGTTTTAGAGAGAGAAAGTGAACATTCAGAGAACCCACCTTTAATGGCTTCATCTAGTTGAGTCTTGTCCGCTTTTCCATTTCTACCAAATTTGATCTCAATGTCATTATTGATAGAGACCAAAAACTCTAGAGAGATTTCCCCGGACTCAAAAATGAGAGAGAGAGAGAGAGAGAGAGGGGATAAAAAAATTGATATTTTTCCACTTTGATTTCGGATCACTCTCTTCTCCTATATATTTTCCTTGTAGATAGGCTCCCATTGATCTTATTAATCTCCAAAAACCATAGAGAGAGAATATAACCGCGTCATTTCATTTGAATTGAATTGCCCTGTGTCCTACTGCTACTTCTGATATCGCCTTGTACCATTCTCGATATTCACCCACAAACAGATAAGAGGGAGAGAAACTAAATTCTGGCAATCAGAATTTAGAGAGAGGAAGTAAGAGACTAAAATGAACCAACCAGAAATTAGAGAGAGAGAGACTTGTTGGGACGCCGGATGGGAGAACTTCTTCTCTTCTTCCCCTGCCATGTAGTCGCCACTACAATTGTAGTGGAAATTAAAAAAGGAAAAACAACAGCAATAATAAAATACTAAAGTATGAAAAAAAAAAAAAGGTGGGTCTAAAAAAAGAAAAAAAGAACGAAAAGTTTGAAAAAGGCTCGGTGTCTGATTACGTGAAGATCACAAAAGACTAGAAGAAGGGGAATCCACTGAAAACAGGGTTAAAAGTTGGAACTTAAAGTAAAAAGGGTCAATTTTAAAAAAGAAATCATTTATATAAATGGAAAAAAAGTATAAAATAATAATTAAAAAAATACAAGAGATGGTAAACGCAACGGTTGGGGGTTTCCATACATGTGTTGCTGTCTCCTGCCACATCATCACAAAATTTTCTTTGATTCATAAATTCCTTAAATTTATTTCTATTGGCCAACCAATCTGAATTTCTAAACATGATAAAGAATAAAATTGAATTATCGTAATTTAATTTGTTAATGTAATATATTTAATCTGTTTAATTCAAGTAACCATATTTGATTATGCATGGATATATTATGATTCTATGTGCATATAAACAATGATTTACAGTGTTTTTGTATGCATGTATGCCTACTTTGTTGTTCTTTTGTTTATATTTTTGTCTATCTCCATTTGTCTGGTTATTTATTTGGTTGGGATTCGATTTTATTTTTCGCTATTTTTATTGTGCTCGTCCACACTAAATTAGTTGTCTTTCTCTTCAAGGAACGTATCTTTCGCACCAAGGGGAATATTCAAATACATCTCATTTTCAATTATTTAACATTTTATACTTTTTCTACTATTCCAACTTAAAATCATGTGTATTTTGTGGGGCATTTCGAATGCAAATCAAAACGTATAGATAAGACACTAAATAGTTAATACTTTAGGTGTATTTTTGACAAATTCCCCCTTATAAAATGCATCACGCATAAATGCATTTACACGTATATGCGGTGGCACTACTGGAAATAGATATACATATACAAAAGCACATTTATGTATAGAGCAGTGATTTAAACAATGCCTGTCAGGGAATCGCCCGGTCTGATCCGGGAATTGGTCACGTCGTTCTGGTTTTGCATGTATACAGGAAAACACTTAAGTCTAGAAGGGAACTGGCGGTTCTGCACAGTGAAACGGCGACCTGGACCACTGATTCACCAATCCAGACTTATTATTGTCCAATCCACTATTTTTTATATGTTTTCTTGCCACTTCATTGTTTTTTCCGCATAGTAAAACAGTGATGTGGGCCATTGATTCACCAATCCGGACTAGTTTTTGGGTACTCGATCCGAGTCACTGATCCGTTTTTTAAATAGATGGTATAAAGTATATATAAACTAGGTATCCATACGAGTTAAAAGATATGTTGCTCCCACAAGAGTGTAATATCCATCTTGCTCCAATTTGATACATCATCTTGAACCTAGCAACCAATTTTTAAAAGAAAATATTCAAATCGCATGCTTAAAAAAAAGTTAGGTCTCAAGACAGGCGTTTGAAATTTTGCAAGGAAAAATCTAAGCTCTCCATGGGTTTTTTTGGTATATTAGTGGGTAAAGGGCTCCTACATGGGGTAGGAATGGAGATGTCAAGTTATCTTGACATCCACTACAATGAGCAGCTATGCCTTGAGTCAATTCCTAAAACAAAATTTAGTAATTTACTATGCCTTGAGTCAATTCCTAAAACAAAATTTAGTAATTTAGTGGGAAGATAGGCCTTTACCCGATTTTGAATTAGTTAGTGGTTTTTGAAACTCTCAATAGGAATGAGGTATGGGGTGTACCATTACCACAATTTCAACTCCTTTTTAAAAAAAT